TTGTTTAGGTGTCAATGATGGTTTTCTTTTAGCTTTCCTGTATTGAAATCCCATTTCCTTTAGGTGATTTCTTGCAGTTTGGTCACATACATTGGCTCCAGCTTCCTCTCATTTATGCTTCATCTGTTTAGTTGTACTTTTTCGATTTTCAAAACAAATGGACTTAAGTTGTTTGTCTTGTCGCTTTGATGTCTTTCATGGTCTATCAGTATGCTTGGCTTTAACAACCATTCCATGCTGTTTGTATTTGGTCCATATCTTGGATACAGCTGACTGTGAACTGCCCACATCTTTACCAACCATGTGTGAAGAGTTTTACCTTCAAGAAGTTTCACAATCCTCTCTTTTGGTTCAAGAGACATTTCTCTTGTTGGAACCATGGTTCTTGCCACTCCACTTVGTCCAGCAGCCCTCCAAGGTGTCATGACTGCAGGTGTTTTTAACTGCAGACTAACAAGCAGATCTAATCTGAGGCAGTTGTCCATTTAGGGAAATGAAACTGACTGGGTGTGTCCTTATTTTATACCTCCAATTTGAGTGATTCCATACTTTTTTCCTCAGAATTGAGTGATTCCATATTTTTTTTTCCCTGTGCTTGGTCAATAAAAGTAACATTAGCTATGTTTACATGCACAAAATTTTTTGATCGGATTGAAATGTATTCGGATTAAATAATCCGGATGTACTGTTTAAATGGACACAATCCAATCATGAAAAGTGTTTACATGCACCGGACTTTTATTCAGAATAAAAGTCGGGACATGCGCATTGTTGTAAACTGTTAGCTCTACTTCTGTGTTACAAACGTAAACAAAGCTCCTCTGTGTGCTCAGGACAGACCCGTGTCAGCTTTTAATAACGTAGAGACGTCGTTACTCGTCTCCTCGGTTGAAATGCAGCCTGCAGATGAAGCAATACATGCTTTTTATTTTTACTTTTTGTGAAGCAACGTCTGCTGTTTGCCTCGTTTTTCATCTGTTAAGAGAGCGAGGAGGAAAAGTTCTACGTGGTGCAGCGCAGCTGGAGCACTGCTGTCCCGCCTCCTCTAACCAGGTGAATGAAAGTCAGCAGACATGCGCACCACAGGTCTGTTTTCTACAATCAGAATAAGATGATCCGATTAAGTGTTTACATGAACGTCATTCCGATTATCAGTCGGCATAACCCACCCTTTTCATTTGGATTAAAAATTCATTCGGATCGAGCTCAATCAGATCTGAATAATCGGAACAGGCTGTTTACATGACGTATTTTTATTCCGAACGGCCGTTTAATCCGATTACTTTTGTCCATGTAAACGTAGCTATTGACTGACTTCCACAATGTTTTCTCTTCATTTTTTTGAGTGTTCCTGAAAGCCAACAAGTTGCACTTTGGAATGACCTTATTATTGTATCATGTTTTTGATCTGAATTTGTTTTACAGAATGAAATGTCTGAATGAGTGCTCATCCAAGACTGGTGATTCCATACTTTTTGCCAGAGGTTGTATTTGACTCATTTATTGCTTTGACATCTCTGACTTGCCAAATTTTTAAACCAATTTTATTTTCACTTTCATAGTTTCATCTTAAAATGTTTGTAGTTTTAACTGTCTTAGATGTTCAGAAATGGATTTTACCAGCTTCTAGCCAAGATTCTGATGTTTCTGTAGATGCCAAACATGTCTATGTTTAACTAAAAGAACTTAATAGAGTTAACGTGGAAATCTGGGGGTTTGGGTTTAAGAGATGAGTGAACCAGGTAGCTGGCCGAACATTGGTCACTCGCGGGCCGCCAGTTGAATAGTCCTGGTGAAGAGCTACAGGATGAATCTGTTGTTGTTGGATGTCAACGAGGCATCTGGCCTGTTCACTCATGCTGCTTAAAATGAGGTGAACTTGTGTGGATATGGAGCAACTCTTCATTGTGTCGTTGGTAGGGGTGTAACGATACATAAAACTCTCAAGATGAGACGAGATTTTAATATTAGTTTCAAGAAAACCTTAAAGATCTATTTTATGCTGCAAAAATGATTTTATTCTGTTTTAACATTTTTTATTACAAACTCAACTGATATCTTCCTTATTCTAAGACATTTAAACTTACTGAAAATTCAACAAATAAAAAAAACTAAATGTTATTTTTTTCCTTTTAAGAACATCTATCAGATCTCTCTCAAGGGCTCTGGTCCGACCGCTTTAGGAAGAGGGGGGGGCTCGCTACTCGCAGAAGAGATGAGGAGAAAAGTGCTTGGAAAGGGCTGTTGCCAAAGCTTCTAAAAGTCTCCAAAAACACTGGGAAAATTCACTAGATTTGTCGCTAGTAGGGGTGTAAGAAAATATCGATACACTGAAATATCGCGATATTTCATTTCCCGATACTGTATTCTAAAGCCCTGTATCGATTTTTTTTATTAAGGTTTAAATTGTCAACTTTCCTGCCAGCCGTTCATTTTTATGTTGTAGTTCAGCCTCTGACCACTAGTTGGCAGCAGTGAGCCAGACAATTGGCTCCTCTACCTCTTGAGGTAGAGGCCATTGTTAAGTGTTGGGTGACCATATTGTAAATTAATATTAAAAACTAAAAGCTGCAAAAAATATATTTTCAAACTATTTATTATCAAATTTAGTCTAATAATTGAAAACATGGATGAAATAAGAAATATGAAACAAATAAAATACACACAAAGCAGAACACAGCTAAATGTATCAAAAGCATGTCTCTGTAATATTAGAATTTTCTGAGACAATGAATTTTGGTTTTTCATTTTTTTCCTCTTCAAGAGGTTTTTATTTAATAGAATTTTGGACAAAAAAATCGCAATATATCGCCTTGCTTATAGTATCGCAATATATCGGGATATATCGTATCGTGACCCCTCTGTCATGATATGTATCGTATCTCCAAATTCTTGCCAATACACAGCCCAAGTTGCTAGAGGGGTCTAAAAAGTTGCTAGATCTAGTGACAAAGTCGCTAAGTTGGCAACACTGTTAGCGAGACAACAATTACCTCTCAACGAGAGATCGCGAGAGTTTAGTATCGCAAGATTTCATACGAGATCTCGTTACACCCCTAGTCGTTGGGTCATATCATTGATAATGTGACACAGGGCTTTAATTATCACACTAAAAAGATATACAAATATTTTGTAGATGAAATGGCAGAGGCTGACCTCTACACACTTACTGACTATTTTTAGACTGACGAGCTCCATTCTGATCCAGTTTAGAAAAACATTTAAGCTGTGGTCAATGTTTTTTGTAGGTCGGTGCGAGATTTTTGTGAAAGTGAATGTTTTAATTAGGCTTGGGTGGTATGAAATATTAGGAACGTGATCTTAAAGATTTTATTTTGGTGCAGAGCCAAATCCAAAGTTGATCATTTTCTGGTCGTTTTTCCAAGGAAACAAGTTAAGCAGTAAAATGAAGCAGAACTGTTACCAAGAGTGATTTTTCTCTTTCTAACTCTTTCCTTTGATCCCCTTCACAGTGACATCACACTCCGCTACAAAGAGACCCGTCGACGCAAACAGGAAGCGCCCGGGGACTGGGACTGCCCTCTGGGTAATGGCAGCACCGGGGCTTCATCTGGGAGAAGCAAACTGAACGGGAGCTCTGAGACGCTGCGCCAGAGGAAGTCCTGAAAGGAAGTCCTGGGGCGGTGGGGTTAACCGAGGAAAGAGGGGGAGCTGTTACACAAAGATGAACGTAGAGGCAAACAGATGGACACAAACTGTTCCTGTGCCTACAAGAACCAAGTAAACATTCAGCTGAGGCTTGTTTTATTTGTATCCTGTAGTTATTTTCACACTACAAACAAATACCTCTGTCTTATTCTTTTTCTTTTAACATATTCATGGAGCTATAAACTGTAAAAGGTGCGTTTTTGTGCTGGTACTGTCTTGTGTACTGGGTGACATGGCAGATAAACCAGTGGGAGGAGGGTTAAAGATACACTCTTATCACAATTTTTGTCTTTTTTTTTCTTTTAATAAACCAGAGGGGAGGGTCAGCAGCAGTAAACGTGATGTTCTCTGTCCTGCAGGTGACAAAAGAGCAAGTGTTTCTACGTTTCGTGAATTTTTGCCCATATGATTGCTGATCTAGAGTCTGTAGTCTATGCAATCTTCTGGGACTTATTTAAACTCAGCCATCATGTCATTGTTCTTTTAATGTTATGTTTAGAAAGTTCAACACATTTTATTTTTAAAGGAATGTTTTGGAGCATGTTGCATTCCAGGTACACACAACGTTTACATGTGGGAGACAACCATGCTTTTTTTTTTTTTTTTTTCCCAGTTCAGGGTTGGTTCCTGAGAGCTCAGAGACTCGAGCCTTTCTGTTCTCTCAGGTATTGTTCTTGGAAATAATGTTTTTGTTATTCCAACCAAGATGTTGTAGTTAACCTGCTGATATTAGAAGCGAGGTGTAGTTTGGGTCCTCTGTAGAAGTTCTCACTTATTTCTTTTCAGTTGAATGATTCAGACACTAAATGTTGCTCGGGTTTCTGAGAAACCTGCAGTACTCCTAAAAAAAAACAAACAAAAAACCCCAGAATGCTCACATTGTCAACAGTCGTGCTGACAGAAACATGAGTTTTATCTCTTGATGTTTGATGGTAAAAAGCAGAGATGGATGTGTTTGTTTCATTAACTGTTTGGACTCTGTTTTCCAGCACAATCACATCAGATTTCACTAACTGTTGATGTCAAAAGTTGTGTAATTTTAATAAAAATGCAACGCTACAAGGTGGTTGAATTAGCTAAAGCCAACAGAAGCAGTGAGGGGTAAGATGTTTGCTTTGGTTTCAGTTGCAATCAAAAACATTTGGGTTCCTAGAAATAATTATAATTTTGTTTTTTTTTTTGTTTTTTTTTACAAAAGATGATCACTAAAGATGATTACTACAACTAAACTTAAATGACTGTCTTAAATCTACTATTTAATAGCTCTAAATGCAGAACTCTAGTTGTAAATAAATTGACTAAACGTAGCACAAAAAGTAAAAATATACATTTTTTGGCAACAATACTTGGTAGTAAATCTGGTAGTGTTTTGAAGGCATGTTAACACTTAAATGGTTTGTTAGGAAAATGCATTTTAGTGCTGAGCAGCAGAGATAAGTTATGTGGGTTGCTGCTGTGATAAATGATTGATTGATTGATGGATGGATGATGCCTTTATTGTCATTGTACGAAGCACAATGAAATTACATTTAAGATCACCCATTCAAGAAGACACACCTGACAAAACCATGGGGGAACAGGTGGTCATGCAGCAACCAGCAGGGGTCGCACTACCTTTAAAAAGGAAAAAAAAAAAAACAGGTTAGACGAGGGGAAAAAAATCCTATCAAGGAAATATGATACACTGTGGTGTTTCTGAAAAAACCTCAACAAGCAAGAGCACATTTATTAGCCAGAGGAGTAAGTGAGTTAGAGGGAATGAGTCCGAAGAACCCGTAGTTCAGAAAATTGGTTTGAATTGTTCATTCTGTTCAAATCTTCTCTAACATCTTATTTTCCTGTTACTCTCTTTGTGTTTGTAGGATCACATGATTGAGGTCTGAACAAACAAAGCAGTTAACTGCGATTTATTTCTTAAACTGTGGCTTCTGTAGCGTGTGGAAGAGCCATACACAGCCACAACAGCAAAACAGACCCTGGCTCACCAGGAGCTCAAACAAGTAGCTGAGGAGAAAACATTTGGCAAGTTTGTTCATAGATTCAACCCACACTCTCCACTCTGCTGCTCATCCCAGAAATGCATTTTCCCAACATGTGTTTCCCCATTTAAGAGGAAATAAAGAGACTTTCCAACAGTCCAGGTTTTATTGCCAAGAAAAGAAATAAAACTTTGCTTCCTTTATGTGCCACAACATTTACAGTTAGCAGCAGTTTATTTATTTTAGGGTTTTGTTTTTGTTTAGTTTTCTTCAAATAAAAAAGCCAAATCTTTGGTGTTCATTGTGAAACTGTTGGGTTTTAAAATGTGTTTAATGTGTGGGAATTTATTGAACAAATCAGGTTTGGGGAATATTACAAATTTAAAGTTGAATTATTTTAGCTGCAGTTGTAAGAAATGTTCATATAATTTATATAATAGGGTTAGAATATTTGCCACAAACCTTTCATAGGAGACGATTTAAACTAAGCTTCATATTTAAAGCTCAAACAGAAACAAAAAACAAATCAGCACCTGTTACCAAAAACTGAATTCATCTCTCAACGTTCTGTTCCCAGTGACTGTTACAGAAGTGATGCTAACTTTTGTTAGCACAGCTCCAAATGTTCCTTTTGTGAACTTTCAGTCGTTTTCTGCTTAATGTAATCAGCACTCAGCTGTCTTAAATTAAAACAAGGAGAATTTTAGTTTAATAAACATTAAACTGACATTCTCAGACCAGTTCCTACTGTCAGATTTGAAACTTTAAATGTGTTCTCTTAAATTTTCTGTGATTTTTTTTAATTCATGGTTTGTTTGTTTGTTTTTTGTAGCAATTTGAAGTTTAGATGTGAGTTAGTTCATCAACGCTGAAACCACAAACATGTTTTAGAAAGCAGGGCTTAAATGGGTGAAATCAAATTTTTTTCTGTTTAAGGTTTCTGGTCAGTTTTACTTTCAGCCACATGGAGATGCTAGATCCTACAGCTGTGTCCAGTCACATGGACAGGGACTGACAGCATGATTTGTTTTTTATGTAGTTTGTGTATATGTGAACATGTTAAAGATTACAACAAAACATATGCTGCTGCTCTGCATAATTTTATAATGTTTTCAATAAAATCAGTATAAAATCTGAATCATGGTCTTGCTTCTTATTCAAAAAAAATCTCTCTGAGTTAGTAAATGTAGTTTTTCCTTTTTCATGCAATCCTAAGTTTTATCTGTGTTTCACATGTTACTTAATCACCACAGTAACACGTTCTGATGAAGTGAACAGGTTTGTTATCTTTCGATCAGAAGCCAACAACTCTTCCTTGATGCCAGAAGGGAATGTGAAAATTCCAGTTTCATATTTTCAGGAGGGCATAAAGTCCAGAGCTTAACGTGAGTGATTACTAAAAGTAAATCTTCCAGGTTTCTATCAACAGAATGATTTCTGACCAGAGTTTCTGTCTGCAGCAGATATTTTGTCCCCATTGCTCAGGTCATCGAGGACAAGGCCACACCTTTTTTCAGTTTTAGAGTTTTACATATCAGGACATAAAATGATCAGATATTTACCAAATTCTAAAATGATCTAAACTAGTTTTTGGCAGCAACAACTCTCAGTAGTGTCTTTCTGTCTGACTTCCAGTCCTTTACATCATTGTGGCTCGTTCTCTACAAAGTGACTTCAGTTCCATGAAGTTAGACATTAGTGTGTTTTCTTTCTGGGTCACACAACACTTCAGTCGGGCTGAGGTCTGTGCCTGGACCTGGACTGGACCATTGCAGCACCGTGATTCTTTTTTATTTTTTACAGATTCCGTTGTAGATTGTTTTGTTGTGTTTTGGTTTTGGGATCATTGTCCTGTTTCATGGCCCAGTTTACCTTGAGCTTCAACTGTCAGACAGACAGTTTTACATTTGACTCCAAAATGCTTTGGTCTACAGGAGGTTACATTTAACTCGATCCCTCCCCAGTCCCCACCACTGGGTTTGACAGCTGGTATGAGTTGTTTGTGCTTCAATCCCTGGCAAAAATTATGGAATGACCGGCCTCGGAGAACGTTCATTCAGTTGTTTAATTTTGTAGAAAAAAAAAAGCAGAGCACAGACATGACACAAAACTAAAATCATTTCAAATGGCAACTTTCTGCCTTTAAGAAACACTACAAGAAATCAAGAAAACAATGTGGTGTCAGTAACAGTTCATTTTAGACCCATTTCACTCGTTCTCTTAGTCTGATCAAATTTTCTGTTCCTCTTGACTTTACCAGTCATAAGGGTGGTAGTAGAAGAAGAAGAAAAGAAGAAGGATTACAAAAACCCCTGAAAGGCACATGGAAGAAGAAGGTTTTGTAAGTTATTTACTTTTGTCCAAACCCTGAGGCAAAAAGGGAAAAAAAAATCTGACTTGTTTTGGGGCTTAGTACGTCCGAAACCACCAAAGCGAAACTAAAATTAGGCAGATTTTTACACGAATGACTCCATTTATTGCCATTTAAGATCTGATTCTTCACCTAAAAACATCTCAAAACTTCTTTTAGAGCCAGACTTATAAAAATACTAAAAGTCAGATTTTTTTCCCCCTAATCCTGAGGATTTAGACAAAAAAAAAACTTGGAAAACTTATTTTGTCCTCCATTTGCCTTTCAGGGCTTAAAAAAATAAGAAAATAACTTTTAACTTAATATTATTATAATTATTTTTACTCACCTTATGACTGTTAAAGTCAAGAGAAACAGAAAATTTGATCAGACTTAGAAAATGGGTCTGCAAAAAAATTTTCCTCTAGCTCTTGCCTTTCAGGGTCTACGGAGCCCCCAAGGTGACATGGGGGTGGGGGGGGGGTGTTATTTTGCGTTCCCACTCAATACAATTGCATTACCTCACATTACTTTTGCGTTATCTCACAACATCTTTGCGTTATCTCACAAACGTTTGCATTCCCTCGCAAAATTGTTTTGTGTTCCCACCCAAAAGTTTGTTTTGTATATGAACTGAATTAAATCAGACTTTTATTTTGAAATATTCAGTTACCAAAACAGGATGTGTCGCCACAAGTTCATGAAACAGACATGGATGCTGAGTGGCTGCACTGTGTTAAAATATTGGCATTAGTGATGTGACGTTCACAACGATCCAAATCTTTTGAACGCCTCTTCACAACAAACGATAGGAGCCGAGTCGCGGGCAGTAACGAGCCATTTGTAGTTTTATTTATTTATTCCTCATATAATCTTTATTTTTTCATCCTTAAATTGGTTGAGCTTTGCTTTTTCACAGAAAACAGGCAGAGCAGTGGAGTACAGAAGCTCACAGGAAAGGGGGTTTCTGCTTGACAAGACACATGGTTCCACCTACATAATGTCGCCATACATGATGATGTATTTCCCTACGTCATGATGTAACTCGTTAAAATCGAACGGCTCTTTTGAACAGCTTTATGAAACAAATGGCTCCCCAAGATCCAGATCCCTTCAAAGAGCCATTTATCCCATCACTAATCGTCATGTGACATACTGCCATGCATGGCTGTGTAATATATTCATTCTGAAGCTGAATTAAAGTAGGAGGCTAACTTGCTAATGGTGAGCATGTGAATTTGTTAATAAATCAGCAGGCACAACAGTGATAAATGACTTGTGAGGGAACGCAAAAGGTATTGTGAGGTAACTAGGGTTGGGCAATATTGGCCAAAAAATAAATCACGATTAATTGTGGTATTTAGCCGATAACGATTCATTTGATGATTAATCCCCTGGAGTCCCTGGACACCCTTATGTCCTAGTCACATGACCAATTTAGTGGGAAAGACTTGCACTTTGTTAAAATCTGTTCCAAATTGTGTCAAAATTACAGACTGCAGGCTATGCATCAAACTTTAAATTGTGTTGGTAGATAAATAAATTACAGAACTTTTTTGTTAGTCACATTCGACGCGGAAAGGAGCACCAAGCGCACTGACTGGAGGAATCTTCAGTCCGCCTGTTGGCATTAATCGTCTTAATCGTCAAGCGCCAAAAAAATAATCGTTTAGTGTTTTTTCTGGCGATTAATTGCACACGATACGATTATGCCCAACCCTAGAGGTAACGCAATACTATTGCGTGGGAACGCAAAAGAAAAAAAAAATTCCTACGTCTCCTTGCGGGCTCCGTACACATCCAAGAGATGAACCGTACGGAACAAAAACCTGGAAAACAAGGATAGCTGGTAAAGTCCCAGATCCTGATGTGACAGTATGCCCTGCTGGTGTGGGAGCAAGCATCACACCAACACCTCTCCTCTCTGCTTCCCTTGCTCGCTCAGCATGCAGAGCTTGTTCCTTTTTAGGGTTTCACCAGCCAATCAGAACTGAAAGGAGACATAATTGAAGCACTGATTCACAACAGTGACACAAAGAGTAAAACTTAAACTGATAATCTACAATTAAACTTAACATTTAACACCTGAGCTAACACCTCACAGTACGCTTACATATCCACTTCCACAGACCAAAACCAGGCATACTGGTAACTAAAGTGTCCCCTGTGTGAGTGGTTGTGTGATTCATCTCTACGTGTCCCTGTGATGGTCTTGCAACATGTCCAGGATGTCTCTCGCCTCTCACAGTGACTGCTGAGAGATAAATCAACTGTGACCTACCAGTTCTAGGGCGACTCCCCTAACCACTCCTCCCCAGCCGCCCAAATTGTTGTTGTTGATCAAACTGAGGTTTGGCTTAGCTTGTCACAACAAAGAAAATTGTCCTGATGCATCTCAGTAATCCAGGTAAAAAATCAAAAAAAAATTGTATAGGTCCTCTGGACGGGTTCTTCTCTAATGAAACGTTTCATTAGAGAAGAACCCGTCCAGAAGACCTATACAATTTTTTTCTTTTTAACAAAGAAAATTAGTTCCTCAAATTCAAGAATCATAAAAAAATGTTGCACTTTCCTTTTATTGCATAGAGTAACCTGGTTTTGATCAGCACTTTCCAATGTGTTGAACAGATTATTAAACTTGCATAGTACAAGAAGGAGTAATAAAGAAGTAGTCCTGAGGTTCATTATGAAACAAGCTCTGCTTAGACTATGAAACTGCTGGAGTGAATTTAGAACAATTTGTTCAAAAACATTTGCGCAAACACAAAGCAGTGCATTAGCAAAGAGTGGTGAGAAGCAGTAAAAATACAGAATACAAAAGTAATCATTTCATATAAAAACAACAGAGGAGAGTAATGAGCTCTGGGAGCGGGCTGCTGATAAATGAAGCCTGAGAAATGAAAACGTACCGTGGCTGCGAGCTTTCAGCTGAGCCGAGTTCAATCAAATGAAGGCAACAAATGAACTCTGATCCAACAGTGAGCATAAAGTTAAAATGTGCAAAATATTGTGCTCAGTCTTGCCTCTGTACTTCTGATAAGTTAAAGCTTTAATGAATCAAACTTTGTTCAACAAATATAAAAAAGGGAATTTAAAAAAGACTAAATATTTAAAGTAACCAACTCATTGTTCAGTAACTGTCAGGACGCTGTTTGGCGACAAGTTTAAAATCTAAAAACTGGCTATATTTCAAAAATATAAATTCTGTTTAGTGTGTCAAACAAAAACAAAAACAAAGCAAAGCAGCCTCTGTTATGAGCGGACCAGTTTGAAGCCCTGCTCAGTATCCAGGACAGCTGGTGGGAACCAGTTCAGTTTGATTCTCTTCACATATCGCAGACAGAAGCTGCAGAGCCACGTTGAGTTCTGCTCGCTGGGCCACAGCACCAGCTGCACCACCGGGTACATGATCTGAGGGAAGTACATGCTCCAGTGGTTGGTGACATCACTTCCTGTGGGCAGGGGCAGGGTGTAGTCGCTCCAGTGTTTGGAGATGCCGTAGTTGGCAGAAACCACCCTGCCCCTCTCGGACCACTGGATGCTACTGTTGGGGTTGCAGTTGTACTCCACCCACTGGGAGGTGAAGTCTCCGAGCTGAGGGGCATCCTCCAGCTCCACGTTCCCCTCTCTGGTGAGTGTCGCGCCCTGCACGGCCACGTACGGACCCTCCACGCTCCTGACCTCCTTCACCCAGGGCAACGAGTTGTCGCAGTCGAGTACAACAATGAGGCGCGAATAGGAGCTGCTGTTCTTCTCCCGCCACCAATCCAAGAGCTGATTAAGGCGAAGGACGTCCCCACCTGACAAGCACACAAACCAGCTGATTATGTTTAGGACAAACGCTGTAAACTTTTTCTGTTTTTGCAATTAATGTTGTGTAACCTCTGTGTATCCCTGCCAGTCTTGGCCAGGACTCCCTTGCAAAAGAGATTCTTAATCTCAATAGTATTTTCCTGGTGAAATAAAGTTTTAATAATAATAACAAACTTCAAAACCCTTCATTATACTGTAACCCTAATTCTGACAAAGACTGGAATTTGCGTAAAAGGTAAATAAAAACAGAATGCAATGATTTGAACATTTCCTAAACTTGTGTTTTTCACAGAAAACAGTAAACATATCTAATGTTGGAAATAACATTTATGGGAAAACAAGAATTTTAAATTTGATGGCAAAAACTAGCCTGGTTTAAACCAGACCCTGTCCTTCACTTTGCTTCGTACGAGGGTCTGGACTTGATGCATAGAGAATCGATTTCTTGCAGGAGGCGTGGCCTCTGCTGAAGTTTAAAATGATTGGATCAGTTGGCTGCAACGTATGTCGCTGTGACAGAGGCTAAGCTAAGAAGCTAACCAGAAATCTCGTGTGCTGTAAACAACCCTACTGAGAGGAGAAATATACTGAGCTGAACGAGACGACTGTAAATGAGAGCTGCTGCTTTGTCAGACAAATTTATTTTAATTTGAAGCCTTATCAACACAGACTGGCTTCATTCACTTCCTCCACTGCTGTATGCTAAAATAACTAGCAGACACTGCGCAGAACATCGACGTCGTTCAAAACTCCTCCTTCTGTTTGCTGATTGGTCCAGGTAATATAAACTACAAGAGACACTGCGCAGAAAACTGATATTCTGTTCTCTGATTGGCCCGGCTAAAAATCTGCCAGTGAAGTCCATCTCAATGGGAGAAGTCCCAGATGGACTTTTTTTCATGCATCGGACTTTTATTCAGAATAAAAGTCCAGACATGTGCAGTGTTGTAAACTTTCAGCTCTACTTCTGTGTTACAAACGTAAACAAAGCTCCTTCGTACGCTCAGGATGGACCCGTGTCAGCTTTTAATAACGTAGAGACGTCGTTACTCGTCTCCTCAGTTGAGCTGCAGCCTGCAGATGAAGCAATACGTGTTTTTTATTTTTATTTTTTGCGAAGCAACGTCTGCTGTTTGCCTCCTTTTTCATCTGTTAAGAGAGCGAGGAGGAAAAGTTCTGTGCGTTGTGCAGCGCAGCTGGAGCACTGCTGCCCCGCCTCCTCTAAGAGCAGAACCAGGTGAATGAAAGTCAGCAGACATGCACACTGGTCAGTTTTCAACAATCAGAATAAGATGATCCGATTAAGTGTTTACATAAACGTCATTCCGATTATCAATCGGCATAACCCACCCAACTCATTCGGATTAAAAATTCATTCGGATCGAGCTCAATCGAATCAGAATAATCGAACGGGCTGTTTACGACTCATTTTTTATTCCGAATGACCTTTTAATCCTATTACTTTTGTCCATGTAAACGTAGCAGACAGACAACAAATATTACATTTATAGTATTACAACTAAAACCGCTTTTGACGCTGCCACCGCAGTTTGTCCTTCGTGAGCCTTCGTAGACAAGATGGCGGTGCAAGATGGCGGTTGCCTGTACTGGCGACCTGCGGCCATGGAGATATAAACAGCTTTTTATAAGGCAAAAATAATAAAACAAGGTCTTTGTCTGCAATGATTAGACATGTTTTTTATTATTGTCATTAGTGATTATCTCAATTTCCGCTAAAAGTATTGACAAAATCCTACACACTGTGCCTTTAAACAGGCACTGCATGCTCCTGTGGTGGCTAACAGCTGTTAGCACAACACTAGCTAACCTAAACTGGCTTATTTTATCCCCCAGAACATCACAAAATCCTCCAACTCCCTGAAGATGTCGGGCTGCAGCCAGGCCAGTTTCCTCCTTTTCCAGCCACTTTACATTTATCCGTTTTGTCTCTGCTAATTAAATTTGTCTTGACCATCATCATCAACCGGCCGGAAAATATTAAAATGGTTACAGATCGTTCCCAGTCAGAGCACTTTAAGCCCTGCAAACTGGCCCGGGAATCTAACCAATTCAGAGGATTTTCTGAACCCATTTTGAATTGGGAAAAAAAACATTTCAATGGATTGATGAACCAATATTTGTACCCAACAGCAACAAAACAGAAATGCATCCACTGAGTAAAGAACATGAGTTTTACCTGCCAGCGCCCACTCTCCAGAGCGATGTGTGTGACCACTGTAGAAGATCACGTATGTATCATGTCGAGGCCCGTCAGCTGTGCGGAACTCCAGGAAGGATTTGATTTTGGCCTGCAGAGTGTCCAGGGTCAACCCACTTGTGGAATAATCACAGCCAAAGTTTTCGATCAGGTGGCAGGCGAAGAAACGCTGAATGTTGCTCAACATGCCCGTGGAGCGCCTGTTCAGCTGATCCACCTGACCTGGAGGTAGCAGCATGGGCTGACCATCAGGACTGAACAGAAAGACGAGATAAAAATTACAACTATGTCAGGTCTTTGTGGACCATTTTAGGATAAAGTGATTTGACTTTTGCAGCACCTGCAGAAGTTAGTAGGGATGACCACCGCATAGCCCACACAGGTTCCCCCCAAGCTGTTCCCCAGCTCATAGAAGAGTCCATGAAAGAGAGACTCCAGGAGCAGAATGAGCAGAAAGGTACTCATAAAGATGCAGCTGGAAGCCTGCCGAGTAAATTCAGTCAGTGAGAGACACAGAAACTGCTTTAAAACAAGGTAAAGTAGGCAGCATCGGCCTTTAATTTAGCACATCATCAGATATTCTCAAGCACTGAATGCCTAATTTATTAGTAAACAATCGTGAGGAAGATTTGCTGTTTTCTAAAGCAATTTTTATGGAAACCTTACTCATTCTGAGTTACAGTAACCATTAACCAGACATTTAATCATGCAGGTTGTGAATTGTTCAAAACCATTGAAAAACTGCATATTTTGATCATGATTTTGTGACTTCAACCAAAGATGTTGCACAATGTTTAACACTCAGTATGTGTTGAGGACTCCCAGCTACTACCACATTTTAGCTCAATATTTGTAGAACTGAGTGAGTACTAGTCATTTTTACCTCCGCCAAGGAGGTAATGTTTTCGGTTGCGTATGTCGGTCTGTCTGTGGACAGCATTACTCAAAAACCTGTGGACGGATTGTCATGACATTTACAACACATGTGGGTACTGGCCCAAGGAACACACCATTAAATTTTGGTGATGTTCCCGATCACGATGCGGACACAGGACCTTTTTTTTCTATTAATCCTCTGAGATCAGGAAACCTGTGATGCTTACACAGGGCTTCTGTAAAAAACAGTGACAGACTTCAGTGTTCATTTGAACTGGATTACACAGCACGGACTTCAAACTTTATAAAAGTAATGTTAAAACCAGATGTAATGATGAATAATTCTTGCCATAATGTGCGCATTTTTACGCATTTAGAGAACGTCTTCTGACCAGGAAGTAAATGAAACCTATTTTTCCCATTTCCTCAAACACACGACACAAGTGGATTTTATTCTGAGATCAGAAGTTTCAGAAAGTAAAGATGCAGTTTCAACCCGACTTCCACAGAATGACTTATCTTGCTCAGACTTCCACATTTATCACTGGATTTATTGTGCATTTCCTGCGCATTCTTCTCCGAGCTCCTCACACTGGACGGGACAAGACCGAACCGGTCAGAGGCAGGGAACCGACCTTATACCACACTTGAGGCGAGGTGGAGAAAGCGGGCCCTCCTCTGAATGCATCCAGAAGAGTCCGGTCTGCTTTGATTTAGAACCTCTTCAGGGACCAGATAAGAAACAAAAATCTTTTGTGGATCTGAAAATAAAAAGCTTCCATCCAGCTGTAACTTGTTCAGTGAGGTTTACACCGCGCTGTTCTTATTTTTGACTTTTCCAGTCACCGGTGCCTCTGAGCGCTCATTCTCTGAGATAAAACTCCCCACTTATGCATCTAATGAGCCTCAAAAATACGTAATTTTACCAAAAAATAAAATAACATAAAATAGTCCGTATCACATGCGCAGGGATTGGGTATACAGGCAGACTGTCGGCCGTGGGTTTCAGCCCCGGGGCAGAGCAGGACGAAATGAGGAGGGGAGAAATTATAGTGGCAGAGCGGGTTGGAAGACGGTTTTTTGATGTTATTTATTGATTTTTAACGTCCTACAGGCTCTGAAATGTTAAATATGTTTGAAACTACATTTTTAGAAACGCCATAAAACTTAAAATATTTGGGAGATTGGTCTGTTAACTTCAGTCTACCATTAAATGAGGGGAAAATTACAGAGAGTCTGTACTACAACCTGAAAAGCTGCACTTGAGTGGGACACGGAACAGGAGAGACTGACAGGACTCGTGTTGTCCAGAATAAGAGTTCAAACTATCCAGTGTTCTGTGTGAGGGTCTGCTTCAGTCTACGACAGTACCAGGAAGCACTTTATGAAGAGAGTTAAACCATTACAAACTCATACAATGGGATAAAACAGACGTTTTACACGGTGAAATGTGACTGATGAAAACTTAGGAGCTTTATCCAACACCAGCTTGACGATGAATAACGCTGGGTGACGAGTCTGACTTTTCCCTTTTATTCCACATTGGACTCCACTGGGAAGAAACTCCGTGCATACTTCAATGTTCGCTACGTCAGAACAAATGTGTTTCCATCTCTGCTTTTGTGCATTTATCACAGGATGGGGGAAATTGGACTTGGCGAAGAAGATACTCAGCTTAGCCTGTTAGCCTTTGCGCTAGCCCTCACGCTATATTGCCTAATATGTATTAGCTCGGCGCTAACGCGACGAACAAGCTAAACTGAGGTCCTCCATCCATATTTTCAGTTGCAGGCTGAGTCATTTTTGTGTTCCCCTCTCTTCTCACGTGGATGGAGGACCTCAGTGACGAGAGAACGTGTAGCGCTGAGCTAATACATATATATGGTGATAGCTTCGGGGCTAACGCTAAAGCTAACAGGCTAAGCTGAGGTTGTTCTTCCATGAAGCAGCTCTGTTGTCCTCCATCCATATTTTCAGTTCCAGGCTGAGTCATTTCTACCTTCTCCTCTCTGTCAACGCTCTCTGGTTTCATTTAAAAGAGTCGATCATCAGATATTGTCCAAGATTAACCTTCAGGGTGGATATAGCTCGCTAGCAGCCTCGCACCGATGACCTAGTTGATGTCATCAATTTCCCAGAATGCTTTGCGTGTAAATAAAATTTCCCCGTCCGTGTAATATATTTTTAAACTTTTAGTTTAAAAATTATAAAAACTGAACATCCTACAGTATTTTTACAGTCTTTATTTTACAGTTAAAGTAGATGTTTATCATATAAAGTCTAATGTTACAACTAATCGGGGATCCCTTTAAGCAGACTGTAGTGAAAACGTCAAAGAAATAAAAATGCAGCAAAACAAAAGGCTGGAAAAAGTGCGAGGTACAGGTGATATTCAGAGGTTTTTTCTTTTTTCTTTTTCATTGTTTCTGAAGCGGGAACAGGACGTGAGAATCAACAAAGTGATTCAAGAGAGCCACAGGAAGCTGCCTACAGTCTATGAACACATTTTACTCAAACCTGACTGATGGTCAATAACCAGGTGTAACAATTACCTGTGGCTGCGAGCTGCTGGCTGAACCGAGCTGAGCTGGGCTTCTGTAAAACAGACAGAGGTGAAGGCAGAGAAGTCTGCTGAAGGACAGATGCAGGCTCAGGTGCTGTCTGTTAGTTATATCCAGAGGAGAGGACGATGCGAAGCAACATTTACTTATTTTCTACTCTTTTCACAAATGTTTAGACGAGCTAACTAAAAGTCCGTTCACTCAAACATCTGATTTCAAAATAAAATCCACATGTATCGTGTCTGCATATTCTGCATGCTACATGTTGCCATCTGCTTCTCAAACAGAACGATACTTTGTGACAGTATTTGTGTATAAATATACTTATATATATTTATTAAAATCGGTTGGCTAGGACTTCGACAAAGGGCTCTGGTGACTTATTCTGAAAATGCGGATGTTGTGTTTGTTCCTTTTCCTGTTGGTGTGACATGCTAGCTTGACTCTGGAGCAGCTCCGACCGGCGCAACGGACTGAACCATTGTCAGGCAGATGAGGGGGGGACAACTAATTTTCAAAAGACATAAATGCATTATTTTGCCTATAAAAATAATGTAGTTGCTTTCTCTTGGTAGTATGGCTTTACTTAAAATTATATATTTGTGAAATTCATTATTGGAGGGGTCCAATTTAGGGTTTTCCAATATTGGGGGAGTCAGGACCCCCCGCCCCCCGGGATTTACGCCCTTGGGCATAGTATACATTTATATTAGCCCACCTCTTCTCCTGTAAACTTATTCTCATCACTTAGTGATCAAGAAAATTATTCTGTTTCTTAGAAAACTAATGTATCCAACAACACTTTCTCTTACAATTCCTTTTTAGTTTCAAACCACTGAAACTTGAGACAGTTTTGTTTCAAGATTAAACTCCAATTTACAAGTGTAAAAGTAAAATTATGTTTATAATTTTACCAATGCACCAAGGTAGGATTAGTTTCTATTTGCAGAATTATTTCCTTTGAGAATGTCTTCTATATCAAAGTAAATGTATTACTGTATGATATCCTTAACTAATTTAAAAATCAATCAAACTGAATAGTGAATATTGTGAATTGTATCGAATCGATTTGGTAAATCTGAATCAATACCCAGCCCTAGTAGCAACACTCTGTTTACAAGCAGACATTCCCCTTTGACATCACTTCCTGTTACTTCACTGGCAAATAGCTCAACAACTGTTCAACTCCATCTTAGCGACGTGAAATTTCTTTTGCTATATTTTATCAATATCCTCTTTCTAAAAATGCATTCTTGTTTAATACAAAAGTTTAACGTCACAGGCACTTTAAGGATTTAAGTTAATTTTGACCTTGGTTTTGTGCTCACGCTCCTGTATTAACAAGTAAATCGTGTCTGCATTTGTGAATAATGAGACTCTTCTAGCTCCATATACAGGTGCTGGTCATAAAATTAGAATATCATGAAAAAGTAGATTTATATCAGTAATTCCATTTAAAATGTGAAACTTGTATATTATATTCATACATTACAT